GGAACAGAACGGTTTAAAAAAACGTTTTAAACTAATATTGCTGTGAGACTAAAGAAAATTTGCAGGTTTATAAAAATTCAGTGTTTTAGAGTAAAATACACTAAAAAACAGCTTGGTACTCTAGTATCTGTGGAAAATAAGCACAAAAAGTAACACTGCCAAAAGAGCGTTTACTTAAATATTCATGAATTGGGGTAAAACCTGAGAAAGGTACCCACAGTTGAATAAGTGACTTATAACAGTACTTCTGTGTAAACCCAAAGCTAAAATAAGTGTGAAAACTCATTGACTTGAATACAAATATTTACCTGTAAAATATCTAAAGCTTGCAACTGTTCAAACAGATAAATTGCTACACAGTGAAAACATGACAGGTGTGTTAGAAAAAGATTTTGATCCAAAAGGAATGGCGGACTGCTTGGAGAATGCGTTCGCGCTTCTCGGAGCGTCCTTACATCCATATATAGTTCAGACAGAGCGCATGAACCCAAAAGAGTTAGTGGACAATCTGAAGGAGGTTGCAGAAAGTGTGACCTCTGCAGAAATCACAAAGTCAAGTTATGAAAAGCTGGCTAAAATTGCAATCTTGCTGAAAGAGTCATTCTATAAGGCTGTTGAGAAAACTGATTACCTCAAACAAAGGTTAGACAGTGAAATAGTGTTTGCTAAGGAAATTGAAGAATACGTCCTTCAATTTAAACGTGAACACGAGGCCCGCATAAGACAATATCATGAACAGATGTCTCAAGAACAGCAAAATACAAGTGCAGAAATTGATTTGCTGAACAGCAAACTACAAGTACTTGAAGCATCACTATCGGAAGCAAGGGACCTCTCAAAGACTGAGCTGTTAAAACAGGCTCAATCATATGAAGGGAAGATTAGGGATAAAGACCGTGCGTACCAATCCGTGCGTTCAGATAACGATGTGCTACAAGCACAGTTACAGATCGCATTGAAGGAGCTGGACGCTTGCAAGGCAGACAAGACGGAATCACTCCGACAATGGCTGATTTTAATAAAAAAATATCAGACATCACAGGAGGACCTGAAAGCTTGTGAGGAGAATTTAGCTACAGCTACAAACCTGATTTCTGATATGGGGCGGCCTGGTCTAAGACTCAAAGACGAACAGTATCAGGGTCCGAGACAGCCACGAACTCTCCAGTCAGATGCTGTTGCACCTCTTCCTCCTGACAACACGCCGTTACCCCCACCCCCACCATGGGCGGTAGGGACAGAACTGCACCAATATGTACCTCTTCCTCCTGACACCATGCCCCTACCCCCACCACCATCACGGATGGTAGGGACAGACCTGCACCGATATGTACCTCTTCCTCCTTACCAGCCACCCCCACCCCCACCATGGGCGGTAGGGGCAGGCCTTGACCAATCTGCACCAATCACGCATGTGAGACCGTTGATACAGTCTCCTTCAATGGATGATTTGCAGAAAGTCTCAAAATATGTACAACGTTTCGTTCCCGGCCCTATGGGGTCGGCAGGAACAAAAGCGTACCTCAGAGATCTGGATTTCAGATTGAGAGCTTATCCAAATGCTACGGCAGAAGATAAAATCAGTCTGATACGACTCACTTCGGACAGAGAGGTGTTCACCTTCATCGAGCGTCTACCAGATGCAACGAGAAAGGATTACAAACTTCTGTGTGAAGCTCTGATCAAAGAGTATGACTCTTGCACGGGACCTGCTGGTTTCCCAGCCGCTGACAAGGTCACGCAGGGCAAGAATGAACATCCAAAAGTTTATTACAAAAGAATCTTCCAAGCTTATTTTGGTAACAGAAATGAGACCGGAATGGAAGAAGATGATGGTTTTAAGTTTGTTTTCACCAAAAATCTCCACTCTGATTT